CCTGCCTGCTTTACCGAATCACCACGTACGATGTGGGTCCGACCATCCGATTCGATATTCGTGGTTTCTCGGCACCGCTTCGATCCTCCTCTAATGTACCGCCCACGAGTATTTCTCTGGCTTCCCCATTTCTTCGTAGACGTCCTACTGTGCCCGGAATGCGGAAAGAAGCTGGAAAAAAATGGGATAGCTCCACCTCGACGTGTCATTGACATGGATGAGTGTTTTTACATTGTTACCTGGCAGTATTATTGTCGGGAGGGCTGCCAAACCCATCAACGTGGCTGGAATCCGAAGCTAATCAATTCACTCCCTCCATATGTTCGTCTTGCATTCCCAGCCATTTTGTCTCGGTGCTCTGGGCTCTCGCACAATGTTCTCGCACAATTACGGGTTGGAAACCAGCACAAGATGGGCCCGACTGGTGTTCGGTCTCTGCTGTTTGAGATGCATACACTGCGTTTCAATCGCCTTCAAGCACAATATCTGGAGGCTATTTTTGAACTGGAACGCGGCCGTACGACACCAAATTCCGGCGAAGTTCAATCATCGCTCCATGGACACATGAACGAGGTCGCTCGGCAGTATCCTTCATTTGGTACTTTTGACGACCCAGAGAAATATGCTGGCTTCGTCCCGAGCGAGCATTATTTGGCGGAGATGATGAACAAGGCAATCGAGAAAGATGAACCGGAAGCGAACCAGCACACAGCCTGTATTGGGGTGTCAGACGAACTGGCACTCGATGACTCACACAAGGTATTTACCTCTTCTTGCCCATATACTCGTTTTCTGAGTCGAAAAAAAAAACAGATAATAAAGCATATTGCAACGTACGAGGGAGTGCCCATCTTCAACGCACTCTGGACCTGCATGGATGCACGGTATATTCGGACACAAGTGCTGACATCAACGAAAAGCCACGAAGAGCGTTCCGGCCCTTTGGCGGCGGTTGCCAAGTCCTTGAAGCTATATGGGTACGATGACCCGAAGGTTGCATTTTCTGATGATCCTGTCAAGGTTAGTAACATCGTCTCATACCTCGATTTTTTTGGCTCATATTACGTTAGGATAAAGCATTGATATACGGCGCATTCCCCTCTCTTGCCGAAAAGCTCACACCAATCGCAACTGCACATGGTCTTAAGGCACTGGAGCCCCCCGCAAATTTCTCTCCCAATTTTCTCGCGACAGGCCAGCAGACAGAGCAGGTGTGTTCTGCTCTAATGGCGCCGCTTGAGTTGGACCCCACAGCCCATTTCTGTGTCAGCCTCGATGCCGAATGGAATGTGTCCCGGAAGGTCGGAGTTTCTATCTTACAGATTGCACCGCATACGCTCCCCTTGTCTGCATTCATAATCCCCATAAGCAGTCCGGGTCGATGCACCTTCCTTGTTATTTATCAATGATATACTCAGGTTCATAAATTCAAAACACTCCCCATCTCGCTTCTCCGATTACTTGTTTCCAATCGAGTCTTTAAAATTGGTGTCGGGGTCAAAGGGGATCTAACCCGGCTCAAGAAACAATTTCCGAGTCAGCTTTCGGACCAAACATTCAATGTCATTGACCTTAAGGAGTATGCCGTCCAACGAGGAATAATTAGACGGAAAGACTCCGGTGCACTTGATGCCTTGGTCGAGAAGGTGTTGAGGCAATATTTACCCAAAGATGATTCGCTTCGACGAAACGAAGACTGGGAGTTGAAAAAAATTCCACCCGCTTTGCTTCGATATGCGGCACTTGATGTTCTCGCATCAAGATTGGTTTTTGAGAAGGCATCCGAAGCTGCACCGATCGACTCTGTTACTATTGATTCTCCCGCCGGCACGCGAGTCGCCCTTTTGGTGCACGACGGAGGTCAAATTGCTGCATATGGCTCAATTGCAGCAGAGCAGCCCACGACATTTGGCGGTGTACGAGTTGCCGTTCCGCGGAGGGATCGTGTAGTTGTTGAGGTGGACGAGGTCCTCATTCACTCGGCGGCACTCCTTCTGCATCAGATGCCCAAGACCTCAAAGGAGCGACGGACAGCGGCCGGGGCATTTACCCTCGGACAGCTCCAACTCGCGTCTCTAACACCAACATTTTGCGTGGTAACATTTCTGAATCTATTGGTCTTTGATAGACGCCAACCTGTAGGTTTAGTTTTTTTTCGTTTACGTTATGTCAACTCACTGGTTCTCCTCTTAGTCGTTCGATACGGAAGGGAGCACCGGCGGTTCATCAAAATCACCACCAGTAGTACAAACGGCCATGTCTCGCGCTGAACCTGCAGAAGATGGCGACGGCGATACTGACAACGAGTCAGAGCTTGACTTCGCGGATGAAGTTGACCACCCCGACATTCCGGAATCCATCAAACTACAAATGCTTGAGGCGAACACCGAGAATTCCAACGGTACGAGATAAAGTTATTAATGTGCTAGTATTGATTATGCTTTAGCAGGGAAGCGTTCAATAGATGACAGTTCAGATTCAGAAAACACCAATTTTTTCACGAAGCTGCGCCAGTTAATTGAATGCCCACCAGATGGCGACAATGTTTACACGCGCCTGAAAAAAGATATCTTCCATGCTTTTCATATGATTCCGACATCCAAAGACCACGGCCTGCGAGTGGACTTCGTGCGAGCGCTGCGAGATCATCTCATGCGGTGGGATCCAGTTGCACGAGATTCAGTTGATAAAACCTGTCGCAAAGTCTTCAATCGCACATTTGATGAAATGCTCGCAAGCAATCCTCGGTTTATTCAGGCTCGAACCCCGCGCTACGGCCCTCCTCCGAGCGTTCTTGTTCCTGCGATCCAACATGTTTATGACATGTTTGGCAATGCACCAAATGCGAAGGATGGCGCGCCGCTGTTCTCCAAAGAGGCATGGAAGAAAGCGAACGCAGTTTTAGAACTGGCTCGGGAGGGGTATCTTTCTGACCTTGACGGTGTCACCATATTTGAGAAAGCTGGTGTCGACAATTATGGTATGCAGAAATTCAAAAACACGCGGGGTACCGGCAAGGTGGAAGGTGGACCTCATGGCAATGTTTACCGCAAATTCGGAGCGCTCAACGGTAAGTCCCTCTTCTCCTAGTTTGAAACGCACTGACCCTCGCTTCAGCGAGTCCACGGTTGACCGTAAATTGTTTAAACCGATCACCGAACATCCTATAATCTCCAGGTATCACCTCAATTTCATTTTTATAAACAATGACAGCTTTTCACGAACCTTTCTAGGCATGGGCAAAGCATGTTTACGGTGTTGACTGGGAATACCATCACGATTTGAAGCTCATAAACCGGACTTCGTTCTTATTGAACTATCTTGCAGATGTGATAGGCGGCGCCGAGGCCTACTCGGGATGGCTAAACGGTGATCTATATGAGAGAACAGAGGAGCAATTTGGCCTTTGTCCCGTACCTGGTATGTGCTCTCCTTCAAACGACACACCAAACTTGATACAATATCCAGATGCGATACAGATTCGGCTTGACATGGAACCCTTCAGTGAGGAAGCCGCGCAAAAGTTCCCGCTGAACAAGAATAATGATTGGCTACGAAAACGGCAAGGGTTGGCCCTTCCTACGATCCCGCCCACGACAATCGAAGCCCGGAAATATTTCTTTTCACAGATGAAGAAGGTGGCCGTTCAATCTAGTGGTGCGGGAAAAATTGAGTACGAAACATTAGCAAAGGAGTGGAACGGTTCGGCCGATGGCAAGGAACGGTTCTACGTCACCAGCGAAATCCTTGTAGCCTACGCGAAGAGCTGGCACAGGTCCAATAATGTTCGGGCATTGCGGGACCTGAACGCGAACAACATTCAGCTTGTTTCTCAAAGCAAGGAAATTTTTGCGGCAAAGGATCTACCGTTCCCCGAATTTATCACCGGCACTGCACGCGATATCCAACCCCAGAAGGGTGTTCTCCAGATCGACGGCACCCTGACATCTGTTCCTGCTTCGTTGACAACGGACCTTGCAATTTCCCGCCCTCTTCCACCTGCTGGCACAGCCTCCACGTCTTCTTCGAGCTCAGCCCCAGCTCACCAGAGGTCCTCATTGACGGAGTCCCACCGCGCATCGCCGGGCATTGCACATACCCATCCCAGCGGCACGTCTTCACTTTCTCACGCCAGCGGCTCGTCTTTGTACTCCGCATTGTTCACGCACGCCGCCGATATTTCATCCTTAGACCCAGCTCATCTTGCTCATCAGGCCCCGGGCAATGAACTCTTACCATTCAGTGCACCACCAATGGTCCAGACCACGGATGACGGGCTCCAGACTGCCGGTTTCGAGTTTGGGCCGGACAACTTTCATTGGGCAACTCAAAAGTCCTCCGGAGACATGCCTGGATCGTTCCTTGGGGACCAGGAAATGTTAGAAAGCACTCATGCCGCTGTGGGTGATGCACATTTGATGGGCAACAACGAGAGGCGCGACAGCGAGAACTCAAATCCATCGGGTGAGCCCAGGTAAGCCCAGACTTTTTTTGTTGCATAGGTTGACTGAAGAACATTGTTTAGATCCCTTTCTCTTCAAATGGACAATGGTAAACGACGCAGAGTGGTCGAGAATTCGAAGCGGCGACGGCAAACGATACGAAAATGCCGGAGGTGCAAGAGGGAGAATTGCGCAGGAAATGCTGATATTCTGAGGTGCCCAGAGGTTTGCCGAGTGCCATGTAAGAGATGCGGGCAGTTTGCGGGGTGCAGAGGCGTCGACAAAGGCCGCAAGTGCTCTGTCTTAGATTAGGATGTACACGTCACATCCATCAATTGATCAAATCAGCCGCTTCCTACCTCATCTTTGAATCGACAACCGGCGTGCAACCGGCCGCAAGTGTAGCCTGAATCTTCCCTTTTCCCCTCCTTTCCCCTTCTTTTGGTGATTTTTCCCTGCCCGGATACCCAGCCTATTGGGGGGAAAACCCGACTTCGCGATTGGGATTCAAGTTCGACCCCCACAGTGGGTAGTACATTGATTCTCTCCACCTTTGGTACACTGATGGTGAAGCGGTTATCATGCTTGCCTTCCAATCTGAGCCATAAGCAAGCGGCAGGGGTTCGACTCCCCTTCAGTGTAGTTCTTTTTCGTGTTCCCCATTTTTTTCCATCCTCATTTCCTTTACTCCGCGATCTCCTAAGCGATATATCCCTTCTCCCAGAAGTGTATGTGCGTTAATTGTGATTCTCGTATACATGCATTGGGCATCCTGTCTATTGCAGTTGGCGCCAGTCCAGACAAATCGTGTTAATCATAAAATAAGGCCGCCCATATGACACCTCGAATGCTAGTACCGACCGCTACCGCAATTCCACAGGCCATTCGCTTCGCCGCCGCGACCGCCCGTCCGCGTCGAAGCGTGGATTGGGCTGGTAGTGGAGACCATCGCCGAGCGGGGCGCCGATGGGCACTGCGTGCTGTTGTGAGTATTTAAATAGCACGATAAGGGAAGAATACTCACAGACCCACCCCAACACACTCTTCCCCATAACGTCCTCCCACCCCGCGCGCGCCGACCCCGCCCACCACACGTTCCCCTCCGTGTTCGGCGATCCCCACTCCTCGTCGTAGGCCTCGAACGCGCGCCGCTTCGCGCCGACATTCCAGCACGCCACCCCCGCCGCCTCGAGCGCCGCGCGCTCGCGCTCGCGCATGCGTTGCACGCCGAGACTCTCCACCGTCGTCTGCGAGAGCAGCACCATGCGCGTGTGCGCGACGCCGAGCGAGGAGGTGAAGAGCGCGAAGAGGCCCGCGAGGGCGATGACCACGACCTCCTGGGGGTCCACGTCCTCGCCCCCGCGCGTCATGACGCTGCTGGCGTTGAAGGAGAGGAGCGAAGCGAAGGTGAAGGTGGTGAAGATGAAGGTCGCGAGTGCGAAGTTGAGGAAGAACTAGGGGTCGTTGGGTGAATGGGAAAAGGAGGGATGGAGGGGGGTACCTTGTGGTTGCGCGCGCCGACGCATTGGCCGATCCAGGGGCAGTGGTGGTCGAATTTGAGGATGCACTAAATTTTTGTCAGTTGGCGTGCCATAAAGTGAACGAGGACTTGCCGTGCCACAAATACGACAATGGTGCGCCCGGTAGGGCTTCACGATCGAGCACCGCTTACACCAGCGATGGGGCGGTAGCAGTGGCGCAGTCGTCGGAGGGAAACGACCACGCGGCACACGCTTATCGCTTGACTCTGCTTTCTTACCACTACCCCACGAAGATTTCCGGCGAGTAGGAGGGGGAGGCGGAGGAGGGAGCGCGGGTTTGTACCCGTTCTCAGGCAGCTGGATCTCCCGCGTCACGCCGTTATGCGCCGCAGGGGGCCCCGCCGGCACATCCGGATGAGGCGCAAAGGTGCTACCCTGAATGTGCTCGTACGCAGGCCCTCCGATGCGGCCCGCCTCGATATCCTCGAGGGCCGCGCTGCGCCCGCCGTATAAATATAAATCCTGGTCGGCCTGGTGCGCCTCCAATTGCGCACGCGGGAAGAGGGGTTGTGGCGTCTTTTCGACGTACTGCGGGTCATCATGAGAACCTCGTAAGTGTATGTGTGGTTAAATGTGCGCACGTCGTTGGCAGTCCCTGGAGGTGTGATTACCACCTGGAGTGCGTTAGCAAAGGAAGGAACATGATAAAGGAGGAGGAGTCTCGGGTTACCTTCACGTACGCCCACAGCATCCATACGTACAGGAAACACCATGGAACGAGCAGACCGACTGCCCGAAAAAATAATTCGTCAGCATTCCCCCCGCACAAATCGCCGAGATAAAAACTCACTCCCCTCTCCGCGTCGGCCCCCATCGATAAGCCGCACGACGAAGCGTCCTGCGTACACATACCCAGTGTAAACCATGATTCCGAGGGTAACGACAACCATAAGCTTCCGCACGACCCATAGCTGTGGCGTCTCCGCACGGGCCTCCCGCCGCTCGCGAGCAGTATAGCGCGCCTCGGTGATGGTGCCACACAGAGTGGGTTTGTCGAGGGCGAACTTGTCGCTGGGCGGCGCCGCATTCCTCGCGGACATTGAGGTCGACTTTTCCGCCAAAGATGACGCGAAAGGAAGATCGCGTCACAGCCACGACGCCGCAAAATGAAATGTACCCGAGCCGGCCCGGGAAATAGGGGTCTCGGTTTTTGCCGTATACTTTGCTGTAATCCTTGTCCTTGGCTGGGTAGAGTGGAACTGTGCAGAAAGTCCAGACGGTATTAGCTTGGTTGGCTTTGAGAACTTGATCGAGCGGGTGTTCATTTACAAGGCAACAGTAATTATAAGCTCTACATGCCTTCCTCGACGTTTCCCACCTGTTGCTGATTTGGCATTTGCCATCGTTCCGTCGCTTCAAGTTGGCAAGCGCCCGACTCCCCCGAGTCACTACGTCGAATGCGAACTCCCGTGTTTCCTAATATATAAGTAGTGCCAAGGCTAATAGTAGTATGCACGAGAAATGGGTTTAAATTCACCGTCAGCCGGAGGACTTGTGGGTGAATGTCGAAGCCGTCTGCAGAATTGCACGACTATGACCCGGATACAAATTAAAAGTGCAATATGCTCACTGCACAAATTTACCTTAGCTCCTTGTAGCTCGGGGAGTTAGCCGCCCGTCATAGTAGACATCAGCGCACCATGAAGCGATAGAGGGCTATTCACAGCTATGAGCTGCTTCCCATTGAACTGATCGTACTTATTTCCCAGGGAGCGGTATTTCAGGAAGTTTACAACACGAAGTTACAATTCATGTCAGGCTGAGGCTCGCAATCACTGGCAGGAATCTGACATTCCTGCTACCTACCCTGCCCTCGGGGAATATGCTCGGTTCCGGCCAGGGTCGCCTGTGCGCGGAATGACGGGCGCCCAGTGAAGTTAACCGAATGCGCAGAAAAAATCATAGCTATGGAGAGCCCGGCGTGCCTTGCAAACTCTGTTCTGAGAGCAGGGAAATAAGGGTAAGAGACACCCGGAGTTTGACATTCGGGAACAGTTTGCTGGGTTTATCATTATTATTATTATTTTGTGATGAATGTGCATTCTCGGTGGGACGGTACGACCGGAACGCGGCTGCTGGCTGCTGGCAGCAGCTCGGTTTTTCTCGGCTTTCTAAAAAGAAATTATGATCTACTTACACCTAAGTCATAAACGATAGACACCGCGCAAAAAGTTCGGGCCAGCGCACGGCCCCACGGCATCGTGCTAATTGGAGCTCCGCTGCAATCAATGCCATATACCTGCTGAGCAAAAGCGGCTCGTCGTCGTTATGAACACCAACCGCGTGCCCGGTCCCACTGAGTGCATACGGGCCTCCGGTGTAGAACGTGTCGCTGTCTGTCAAGAGAGACTACCTCCGTCGTCATAAAGCTTATTCTGTGGGGAGAGGCAGACAAAAACATACGGAGTGGTAGACCCGCTCAGCATCCAGTGCCCGAGCACCATGCGGTGTGATCCATTCGACGGTCCAAGTCGAACAGCGCTGGTGGATACGGTACGCAGATAGTATAATGACGATGTATTGTACATTTTCTCCGTTCTTCATTCGATCTCCCTCACCAAGTTCTCGTGCAGGTTCGGACTAAAATTAGAGTAGCTGTAACTTGTCAAAAGGGGGGACCGGGGGAATTCCTCGGGCTGTTCAGCGTTAAGGAAGTCACGGCTCGGTTACTACTGTCGGGGTTTCCCGATATAATTAAGGCAGGCGCTTCAAGTGGATCAGACACAAGCTCTTCTCAGATACTACGTTCCCGGTACTTACTCCATTTCTCATTTGAGAAATGGAGTAAGTACCGGGAACGTAGTATGTGTAATCCGGACATGCCGGCATAAACAACAAGTTATTCTCCAGTCAAAAGCCATGACCCAAACCTCAAACTTGCTTCCCCCCGCTACTTCTGCACCTAGCCTAACATGCACCACACATTATCTGTGTCCATAATATTGTGGTTAATATCTCCCGTACTAGGCAACACCCTTCGCTATATTATCCTGGCCCTCATATTGGCGGCGTTCACGGGTTACGCGGTCAATCTCTCCAGTCCATCGCGCAGGCTCGTTCGGCTTGAGGACGCGATCAAGGCCGTTGAGGACATCTTGACCCGTGCGATGGAGAACTGCTCAAGGGATTATCTGGAGTTGATGGACTTGGCGGATAGCTTGATTCAGTACGTTCAGCCTACGCTCCGTCGACGCCATCGGTATAATTTATGTGTTTTACAGCGTTGAAATATCCGCATCGAAGATTCGGATTCAACTGCTGAATGCGAGCAGCCTCGAAAAATGGAGCCTGAAAATAAGGGAGAGGATTAATGAGTGCACTAAGAAGGTGGAAGACATCAATACGTCGGTATTGGTGAGTGGGATCACAAAATTAATGGTTTACCCGCAAAAATAATTGTGTTCAGCGCATTATAGAGGGCGAACGTCAGTATCAATTAAACAAGAGCTCCAGGGAAAATCGCGAGGTTATCGACACGATTATTCTCCCGCCGACGCGTGAGCCGCCTCGATGATTTTCTTTTTCTTTTCCCTGACATAATTTCGGCTGAAAAGGCATGCAAGAGCGTGCTCGTCGTCGCCTTGCTCTCCATGAGTCAGATATGTGAGTTCAAAGTCAAAGGGCAAATTTTCAGACTCACATTGCCGGTAGCGTGTAGTCCGTCCGCACTTGAATTGGTGTTCACAATGTTTTCTTTCGCTTTCCTAGCTGTCCTTGGACGCTCTCCGTTTTTTATAAGTGTTTCACCTAGTTCAATTGTACCCTATCTCTTTGTGGATGCATCCTACCATAATGCATTCGACACGTTCCCGTTTTCGTTTAATTTGCAAATTGTTTTAACACTGGACCAAGAGTGGTGTAAGACTGAACCAAGAAATATCCAGAAGCCGTCCCCATAAGACCCAGTGGGTTGTCGCAGAGACTCGAGAACAGTGGTCGTTGCTTGAAAGTGGCAATAGTGAAGTCACAAACGTCGCATCATATCGGACTCAGCTGCTCCGAGATCCAAGTTCACTTGTTCAACCACAATTTTCAGGCTCCCAATCAATGTATACGTCGGGACATTTCGTAGACTGGACAGTTTAACAGGCGGGGATACCG